TGGAAAGGAAGGAATGAATTTATCTTTAACCATCAACCAATTGATCCTATTTCAATTTTACATCGTGTTCGGATGGCAAGAACAAAATTTGAGTCAACTACTGGTATGGGTGATAATTTGTGTCCACAGATTCATGCTGGTGTTAACCTTTTTGTAGGGAACTGGGTGCCTCCATCCACGGGGAATTATAAGATAAATTGCGATGTGGCAGTAAAGAAGGGCTCAAATCAAGCAACAGCTGCGGTTATTCTTCGGGATTCTAAAGTGAAGTTGATTGATGGACTTACAAAGAAGTGTTGTATCTTATCCTTCCTCCAAGGTGAAGCACTAGCCTGCCGTCTTTCTTGTCAATTGGCTCAAGATTATAATCTTATGATAGTGGAGGTGGAAAGAGACAATAAACTTGTCATCCATCTCTGTGTTTCCAAGGATGTTCCCCTTTGGAAATGTGGAGCAATTGTTAATGACATTAAGATGTTGGGGTTGGAACAATCTTCTATGTAAATAAAATAAATTGAAACAACTTCAAACAAAATAAATAAAAACTTACAGAATTTATTTTGTCGAACCAAATAAAATTACAAGACCAAGTTGAGTGTGAGACACTCTGTCCTTAAGACAGATTTGCCCCGCTACGATACTTACGGTTGAGTGGCGTCTATCTCCCAGGATACAATGATCTTCACAAACTGTAGTAGTACTCCAAACAATTTGTTCGGTGAACCAAACCTATGTTCTAACTCTCTGAAATTTATTCCTAAACCTAATATATGAAGAATAAATGCAGCAGAGCAAAATCTGGACAAAAAAGGCAAAGAGCAGACTGATTTTCGGATATCAAACAATGCTGGACAGTGCTGGTATACATAGAGCCGAACAGGTGCAAAAATTTGAACTGAACATGTGTGTTTTGAATTAAACAGATATGAGTTTAAATTCAAACAGATTTGAAACTGTTTCAACAGATAAACTGTTGGACAGTTATACTCGGAACTGCTGGGCAGTTTCTGGAAGTTAAATAACTGAAAACCAGTTTAAATTTGTTGAGAAATTTCGGACAGAAGTTGTCTTAAATGTTGGACAAAAAATTAGAATTCAAATTTGAATTAAATTCTCGCAATATTATTTTGAAAAAATTCAAATGAATTTTGTCCAAAAAATTAATACAAGAACCGACCCG